CCATGCTCCCAAGCGGCACACTGTAGCAATGCGCCACTGGGCTGGCCCCCACAATTTTTATTTTTTCATTATAAATTAGTTTTGTCTTTTTTAGAATTTCATGAAAGTAAATTTATATAGTATATACTCTTCTGTGTCTTGCTTCTTTTGCTCAGGATAATGTGAGATTCAGCTGTGTTTTTGAGAGTATCAGTGGTTCTATCCTTTTTATTACTAAGTAGTAGTCTTTTGTATGATCATGCCACATGTTTTGCTGATTTCCTATTGATATACATTTGGATTGTTTCCACTTTTAGGCTTGTGATGGTCTTTTTTATATGTCAACTTGGCTAAACTACAATCCCCAGTTATTCAAACACTAATCCAGGTGTTGTTAGGAAGGTGTTTTGTAGATATGATTAAAGTCTGCAATCAGTTAACATTAAATAAAGGAGATTATGTATAATAATCTGGGTGGGCCTGATTCAGTTAGTTGAAAGGCCTTAAGAGCAGAGCTGAGGCTTCCCTGAAGAAGAAGAAATTTATCCCATGGACAGCAGATTTACTCCTGCCTGAGAGTTCCAGCCTTCCCTTTGGACCTGCCCAATCAGCTCCACAACTGTTCAAGCCAGTTCCTTGCAGTAAATCTCTCCGTATATATCTCCTACTAGTTCTGTTTTTCTGGTTGAATACTGACTGATATAAAGCTATTATGGATAAACCTGCCTATGAACATTCTTCTATGCAGTTTTTGTGGGCATACATTTTCAATTTCTGTTTGGTAAATATGTAGGAGTAGAATTTCTAGGTCGAAGGGTGGATATATGTTTAATTTTGTAAGAAATTGCGAGTCTGTTTTCCAAAATTGTATCATTTTACATTATACCAGTAATATATGAGATTTCTACTTATTTCACATCTGTGCCAACATTTAATGTTGTCAGTCTTTTTGATTTTAGCCATTCTTTTATGTATATAGCAGTATCTCATATGGTTTTAATTTGCACTTCTATGATGACTTAGTAATGTTGAGTAGTATTTCATGTGTTTGTCAGCCAACTGTATATCTCCCTGTGTGGAGTTTATGTTCAAGTCTTCTGCCCCTTTTTCTAAACTGGGTTCTTTGTGTTTTCATTATTGACTTGTGGGAGTTCTTCAGATGTTCTGAATTTAAGTCCTGTGTCAGATATTTGTTTTGTGAATATTTTTCCTCTTTTGCCTAAGCATTTTCCTAAAGGTGTTTCAATGAACAGAAGTATTTAATTTTGATCCAATCTAGTTTTTTCGTCATGTTAATTTTATGGTCCCTGCTTTCTTTATGTTATCTAAGAAATTTTTACCTACCCCCTATGTCATAAAACTGTTCTCCTATGTTTTCTTCTAGAAGTCTTATAATTTTGGGTTTTATGGTTATGTCTGTGATCCATCTCAAAATAATTTTTATACATAGTGTGAGGTTGCAGTTGAGGTTTATGGGTTTTCTTTCCTAGGAATATTCACTTGTTCCAGCAATATTTGTTGGAAAGACTATCCTTTCTCTGATGGATTGTTTTAGCACCTTTGTTGGAAATTGATTGATCTTACAGGTGTGGATTTGCTTATGGATTCTATTTAATTCCATTGATCTATTTGTCTTTTCTTAGGCCAAGACCAAGTAAGTGTTGAACTCAGGTAGTTGAGTCCTCCAATTTTCTTCTTTTTTCATTTTTTTATGGTCTGTTCTAGGTTCTTTGCATTTCTATATAGATTTTAAAATCACCTTCTCAGTTATTACTTTTAAAAAGTCTGCTGGGATTAGCATTAAGATTGAGGTGAATCAGGGCCGGCCTGGTGGCGCACTGCTACAGTGTGCCGCTTGGGAGCGCGGCGGCACTCCTGCCAAGGGTTCGGATCCCACATACAGACCGGTTC